CACACACACACACACACACACACACACACACACACACACACACACACACACACACACACACACACACACACACACACCTCCTCTCCACCATAATATTTGCTTGCTAACATTATTAGACATGTTGGTATTGGATCCTGCACAGAGCAACATTCAATTCTTTAAACAATGGTTGAAAAGTTTTTTCCCCCCCATTGCTGCTAGGAGTATCTTATGTTGCATTTCAGGTTTAATGAAAACACCAGCAACTTGCATAAACTGATAACATAGTATTATCATGTAATAAAACAACTAATGAAAGGTGTGCTTACCTTGGCATGAATTTCAGGGTGGAAAATCTGCAAATGGCGTTTCAAGTTTGTGGTGTTTTTACCCATCAGTGTCAGGCTACACAGTTTGCAACGAGTCTTGTTTCTTCTTGCATCAAATGTGAAATTTATCCATATGTCAGTACGTTTCCTTCTACCTGTATTCGGCTGCTACACAGACACAAGTGCACAACAGTTAACAGACAGACTGTACAGACAGAACTGCATGGTTTTCACTTGCTAATTGGTTGCATGGTTTATGCACTGGAAGCCAATTAGATCAACATGATCCAAAATGTGCAACTACAATCAACACTAAAGATGCTACTTCTCACTGAATCATTTTCAAATTAGTCTTTGCTTGACATTTTCATCTACTTTTTAAATCGTTGACGAAAGCGTCAATACATATTGTTTTTGACATTGTACATTTTTATTGTATATATCTCGTTTTCGTTAATGAAAAATCTTCACTGACAATTTGCATCAGCTTTTGTCAACAAAAGTATCACTGCCTGCAAGGCTTCCCTTTTGGGACAACAGCAGCTCCCTATTTCACAAAAAGTGATGTCACCTGACCGCAGCAGAGTCTTGGCTAGCTGCTGCTCGAGCACCTCCGAGGGTGCAGGCCACGCACCTGCCAAGGCCGAGCGCTGCCCCGCCGATGGTGTGACGGCTCTCCTGCCGTGCAGCAGGAGTGAGAAGTGGAGGCTGACATGGTCTCTTCCTCTCACCTTTCCTGGCCGGGCCTGGTTTCCCTTTAAACTGCCTTTAACTTGAATCAGCTAAGCTATCTATCTGGCTTCTATATTCTTCTTTAGGACTTCATGCCCATAATTATGTGCACCTTGATTACAAACATGTACTCCTTCGGTTCTGTTCATATAATGCACACTTACAGTCTCTCCTGTCACTGCCTTCTACTACAATTAATATACAATTAAAAACAGATCAATGATATGGTGTAAAATATTCGTACCATTTCACTTATAGCCCGACCCTCATTCATCCTGGATGCCTTCCCAAGGACCTTCTCCCTGTGGCCAACCTTGAGGGAGGTGAGATCACACGACATCAGCCTAGTCACATACAGTGATCAACTAACTTTTGACAGCAATTAGATATCCTTTTCCATGAAGGCAGTACTGCACATAAGATACACTGCACAGTTGAAAGGAGCACAGTTGGAATGAACGCATAGTACAGTTCTCTCACCCTGGTCTTTTCATGGATTGGGTGTGTAACAAAAACAGCTGTTACATGCCATTGAAAATGAACAGAGACAGGAACACCCCACAAACCTTAGTCAACATTCGGTGTCTTTAGTGGCATTTTCCAAAAGAAATTCAAGCTGATTCTAGAAGTAATGCAGCAACACTCAAGAGGGTTTTAACGTGATGCTACACAACTGGCTTTTAAACGAGAAGCAGAGTGTAATTTTATGATGCAAAAACTTTCCAGGTAGCCCAGTGCAACTCGTGTAGTACAAAAGGTTATGTTCCCCATTATAACCATCAACATATTTTGACTTATAATTTAAGCACAGAACAGGTAAAAGGTATTTTTTTTTAATTATGGAGTAGATAGTGGTGGCAAAATGAAAAGCAATTTATTCAGGTCAGAGTGTGAAGTGAAGGAATCAAGGATAAATGCAGCCTGTTTGGAGAAAAGAAAACAATCGTTCTCCAGTATTTGAGTGCACCAAACGGGCCATTAAATTGACTGCAAAATGCACTTGTGAGACTCAGGAAACCACGTAAAATTATTCATCTTACTTTAGCGACAAAGAAATGAGAATGGCTCTAGTGCCAAGAACGATTCTTGGCCTTAATGGGTTATTTTGATAATTCTGAGAAAAGGCAACTCAATGGGAACAAGATATACACATATTCCAGAGCAAACAGGAAAATGTCAAGTCGGTGGACTGAGGACTGTTTTAGAGTTTCGATAATTTCAAAGCTGTAAGGCCACAAAGGAAAACCAGCTCAAGATCTTGGTCTTTAGGTAAAGAACGTTGCTTCTCTCTTCCCTGTAATGGAGTGAAAGCCAAGTGAAAGTCACTGAAGCACTTCATAATCAAAGAGTGAGATGAGACAGAAAGGGTTCTGTTGTCTCTAAGTTGTTACCAACTGTACCAAAAAAGGAAATTGGCATCCAATTGTTGCTTCAGTCAGCCAAGCTTGGAACATGCTGCTTACTTGGTTGACCTTGTTATTCTTTCAGGTGACATGGCGGCGAGTTATTTCCCCTCTGGTTTTAAAGCTGTTAAAGCAAAGCCTCCCCATCGGAAGTTTAGAACTCCCTGGCGCGGTAGGACTGAGTGCCGGCAGTGTGGGTTTGCCATGGTCTTCCCGCCCACAAGCCCGGCAGTGCCATGCAGATGGGATACTGGCATTTACACCTGTGGCGACACACGGGTTTCTGGGGGCCGCGGTGACGCAGCACGACCAGGTGACAGGCAGGCAGAGCCCGACTCCCCGAGGCGATGGCTATCCTACTGCCTCTCCCCACTTTTTCTCTTTTCTACTTTACTCCCTACATCCAGTTTTTGAGTCCCCATAACCATTGTTTTTGGCAGGGCGGAAACAACATAGTATAATGTTCAATTCTTTTTACTTATCGAGGTATCAAACAGTTTAACAAGGTGAAACACTTTACTGAGAAGGAGACCCGGGACTTTTCTGGGATGTGACCTTGGGTCATAATAATCTTTGCCTCATTTTTACTGGGTTTACATTTCCTATATCCATCCATCCATCTTCTGTAAATACTTGTCTAGGGCTGCAGCAATTAGTCAATATAGTCAATGACGTTGATGCTTAAAATGCGTCAACATCAATATTTTAAATAGACACATAGTTATTAAATTTTTTTTTAATTAAACTCCTTTTTTGATTTCTAATATATTATGAGTGGTTTCCTTCAGTATCACTACATAATTATGTGGGTTGTTCAAATTATCACAAAACAAAAAAATAGTTTGTACACTGTGCAATGTTTAGATGGCATACTACAGAGGCACTAGCAATATGCATGAGCACCTGAAGAAGAAAGAAAGAAAAGAAGAAAAAGAAAAAAAAAAAAAAAAAAAAACACACACAGGTGCTATTCTAAACCACCAGAATAAGCGTGACCATTGTGAGCGTTGTTTATTCTCATTTAATTCTCATTAGTATGGAGAGCTTTTTAAATTTCTTTTGTCCTTGTAGCTGCTGAATACACTCATTAGTAAAACCATAAACCTGTCTGCCTGCTGCCTTAGAATTTCCATTCAATAAGTGAGAAAATGTTTAGGCTATTGTAAACAAAAACAAAAATGAACTGAAATCAAAACTATATTTATTTAAAAATGTGCCGGACTTTAAACTGCAAAAAGTACCACCACAACACCATCATCTTTTTACCTTATTTATCCACAATATCTCCTCTTTTAAAAGATGTCATGGCTGCTGAGCTGTCCCTTTCTTCACCGCGTCTTCAGTGTTTATCACTTCCATGGTATAATAAAACAGTTGCATGTGGCGTGCTCCGCTAACCGAAAATGTTAAGTATAAGGATATGCTGAATTTATGCTTTTGGGACTTTTTTTACTCATTAATATACTAGGCAAACTGCTAATTTGAAATGTATAGTGCCAAAAAGCCGGTGTCCATTATCTAAAGCCCTGCAATCACATACAGTTTGTCTTTTTCATTTTCTGGAGGAAAAGTAATCATTTAGGTTAAATTGACCAATCGGTAAAATAGTTGACAGATTAATTCATAGAAAAATAGTGGCAGCCCTAGTCAGTATAGTGCCACAAAGCCGGTGTCCATTATCTAAAGCCGTGCAATGACATACAGATTGTTGATGTCAAAATAAAATTAACTTAAATGGAGGAAAATGAATTGTTTAGATTAAATCGACCGATAGGCAAAATAGTCATTAGATTAAACTGTATTGTGCATTCTATAGAAAATAGCTGTAATTGGCAGCACTACCTATTCGAGGCTGTGGGGGTCTGGAGCCTATCCTGGAGGCTATGAGTGCAAGGCAGGGAACAACACAGGATGGGGCACCAACCCATCACAGGGCACACTCACACACCAGTCAGTCATGCATGCACACCTACAGACAATCTGGTAACTCCAAATTGACCTCAGCATGTTTTTGGACTGTGGTGGGAAACCAGAGAACCCGGAAGAAGCCCCACAATGACACTGGTGGAACGTGCAAGCTCCAGACACAGAGACATGGCAGAGACTCGAACCCTCGTCCCAGAGGTGTGAGGCAACAGTGCTAACCACTGCACCGCCCTATTTCATATATTCATTCATCTGTTAAATGAATAAACAAAAAAGGATTTTTCATTTTCCAAAGAAATCCACACAGCATGGTAAATCAGTAAAACAGAATGCACCAGTTACTGCATGTTAGCTGTTTGTATCATTCCAACCACTAATAACTGTAAAAGATTTTTACACACACACACACACACACACACACACACACACACACACCTAACTGAAAGGGCTGGAAGGCCCATCAAATCATCTTTAGCTGCATGACAAGCATTGATGGACTGCATACATCCTTAAATGGTCATGGAGGGAGCAGGATAAAATCCAATAAAAAGCAGAACTGTAAATCAAAACAAAATTGTCTCTCGATCACATTTATTTTCATGGGTTGTAAAAATAAATAAATAAATAAAAAAATACTACAGCATGCTGATAATGGCCAACAGCTTGTAGTAGCTGCACAGGGCTTTGCTGACTTTACACAGCTTCGTAGCCAAATTCTTGCTGTGTGACCCCAGGCACGAACTCCGTGTGGAAGCCAGACAGCCAAGGCATTATTGCAGAGTTCATGAGAGAGTTATCAGACAGAGAGAGCCATCTGGAGTCACATGCTTCTAAACTCAACACTCTACTGTTAGTGACCCAGGAGGTCTGCATAACAGCATAACATTCATAATGTCATGGAAAGTTTCCAGCCTGAATAGAAAAAGTACTGACAGAAAATACAACCTGACAGCTGCAGCAGAGATTTCCTCATTGCAAAATCCCATGGTGTATCATCTAGTCATGACTAGAAGCAGTACTTACTTAAGCTTGTCCGAATTGGTCATTCCAACAAGAAGAATCTCGCCTGACCACTGTTCTAACCAGCAAAAGCAGCTTCAAACACAAACAGCAGCAAAACTCTCATAGCAATAAGCAGGTCAGACAAGATGTTTTTTCCATAGCTACAAACTCTGGCTCATTCTGGGGGATCCCTAGAAGTTCCCAAACCAGTTGGGAGATCCCTCCACTGTTTCCTGTGGGGCATCACCCTTGACAGCTGTCCAGGTGGCATCCTTGTAAGACGTCTTTAAAATACACCCTTAGCTGGTTCCTCTTGATCTGAAGAAACAGCAGACCAATTCTTTTTTTTTTTTTTTTCTTCTTTTTATATTCCCTCCTCCCCCCCCCCTCTGCGGGGGACTGTATTTATTTATTTATTTATTTATTTATTTATTT